ATATGGTGCTAATACTGTAACAAGAGTTGCGATAGGAGTGGCGAATCTTTGTCAAATCGAAGTGTCACGTGACGAGAGTTTTCGCTGTTCCGCTGGTCGAGATGTGTGCACAGTGCATGGCTGCAAACAATTCACGGCAGACGCTTTTAGGAACTACAAAAGTCGACTGATGAATGAACAGACTTATGGAGCAATCCAAACACTGCGGGTGGTGCTCCAGCCATCACTCTCTCCACAGCCCCTTGCCACCCCCCACTGCAGAGCTGAATGAATATCAACGACAACGGCTCAGCTTCAACGATAAGCTCGAGCCCGGTTGATTTCGTCGTCTTGCAGGAAGACGCAGAAATACCAATGTATCAACAAACCCAGCGGGGGACAACTTGAATATATTGTTGATTCGTTCCAATGCCCAGTTTCGGCCGTGGCATCCGCCCACTTTGACCATCCGTTGGAACCTCTCTTTGAGTAATAATAACATCAACACCACCACAAGCCCCACCCCAGTAGCTAGACTGAATTGACGTGACAAACACGAAGACTCGGTTAAGACTACGTCGCAAAGAGCGCTCCCGAATCTTTACCTCGATCGCAACACAACCTATAAGTGAGTCTCGTAGTCATACAAAACAGGTTCCTTCACATTACTGGAAAGTACAGATTGCTACAAAACATACCAAGGAGTAAATAAATTGGTATTTGTTTGCAGCATCAGCCGTTCGTCTAACTTCGACGCGCTCGTTCCAGCTGTTATCGCTGCATCTGAAAAACGAACAGATAGCAGCAGTGTTCAGGACCATTTGATAGCATAGGGTCGATCGGTGTACGCGTAGGACTTCGCTGTGATGCCTATAGTGGCCCGCAAAGAAACAATCCCTTGACAACAGCTTGACCATGAAAGAGTTCGTATAATAAAGACGGTGCTGATGTTGACGGTGATAGTGAAGTTTATAGCGGAGATCGTCACGCGTGCTGTCATTCAGCAACTGGCAACAGGCGACAAGACACTCAAAACAAGCGATGTTAGGAAGCGTTCCATATGAAGCCTATTGTTATGAAGCCTATTGTTTTCAAATAAATGTTGTATAGGACGCTAAACCGTTTGCTTCTGTTATTGTGCTATGGACTCCCTCCATACCAGTATTACGTGGCGCCGAGCGGAAAGAGCGGGAACTCACTACTGGGAGTGCTGTGCATGTACGATTACGTGTATTATTAAGCGCGACATGAAAAAAATGACGATGACTATGAGAATGACGACCATCAGGAAGCAGAACAATTTTAAGCGAATCACGGATGTATATAGTTGTATGGCTAAGGCTGAAAATTTGAAAAATTTTGTTATCCTCATTTAAATGGACGCATACACATATCCATTAGCACATAAAACGGAACAGAAGACATTTACCTCATTAATTAACGTACTTCCTCTTTAATCCTGTTTATGCATATCCTTATTTACAGTAACAATATTTATGCTTCAAGAATGATGAGAAGAAAGTGAGAGAGACCAAGTCCATGAAGAACATTACCTAATTAATAATGACAATATCTGTATTTTAACTACATACACTCGAGAATTGATTTAACATAACGGATCTACAGTAGCGTCTCCTTCTGAAAATATAGGACATTTCCAGCCTTAGTGGAAAAACTGACCCGGAGTCGAAATTCCACGACCCACAAACAGCACGAAAACCATCTACGATTGCATGGAGCCCAAGTGCATTAATGTTACGTTCCCATTGAGCTATACTCCCTCGGAACAGGTTTGCATCGATGAAGGCCAGTGCGAGCAACAACACAAACATATATCTGTGTGCGTGTGTCTAAAATGGCCCATTATATAGTATATATATCGTCTCATAGAACCAAAACCGATGGGGAGTTGAGGACACATTCGTTTTCAGTTCACGTCTAGGGGATAGTTAGCTGTTTTGACCTTGAACTAACCGCCATAGCTTTTTAAGGTCTGCCGTTAATTTCGAAATAATTAAAATAATGTCTCTACAGTATGTATGTAGGAGATAAACTGGTCTCGGGAAAGCTTGCTACTCCTACTACTACTACTATGGGCAAGATTAAACAAAGAAATCAAGGTAATAACAATACCTTCACTATTTTCTACTTTTGATCCCATATCACAGCAATATCATTTTGTCAGTTAAGTGAAGCTGTGTGTCCAGACACTGGCCAGTTTCTTAGTTTGCCAGTAACAGGAAATATGGTGTTTAGGACACAATTAAGCTCTTTATGTCCTATCATTTTAGACAAGGCTGCCTCGGTCTGAACATGAAAATGCGTGAGCAGGAAACAAAACTATTAATACTGAAAGTAGATATTTTTTATGTAAACTACAGTAAAGACGAACGTTGTGTTCTGCCATAGCAGCAAAAGTAAAGAAGATAAAAATCGGATAGTTACCTGCATTGGAAATATCTTCCAATTATCGCCAAGCGCTGTGTTTTTGCTGACTATGATCATTTATCCATGGCACCGCTAGTCAATACTTGGTATGTTCATTCGATACACGCTTATCTTAAGTTCTTCTTTGACCCATATATTAGCGACCCAATACTATCTTTACCGCAACTAGTATCAAAGTTCACTACCACTCGCTATCAGAACTACGGCGGTCTTTCGTCTGCCAGTTGTTTCTAGTCTTGCGACCGATTTACGTTATTTCTTACGCCTTTTTGCCAACTTGCTTTACCAGCTTAAACCTCCGATTTTTACTCCGCGCAACTCACTACCCAGTCTTCTGTTCTGTCTACTGAAACGTACGCCCTTACTTCTGCCGCTGTTATCTCTTTTTTGTTTTGCAGATTTGTGTCGTTTTTCCTTGTCTTTTCTTGTTACTGTCGCCGATGAGTCCATCTTGCGGGGCTATCGTTGCAACCGTTGCTACAGCCAACCCTTTCTGCACATCTAGGACAATGACCATTTGGCTTGCGATTTCGTTCGCCGTCCCCCGTTACCCCGGGGGGTTGTCGTTGCAGCTTCATGGACCCAGTTAAGCCGTCGGAGTTCGGCCTTCGGCGGCTGCTCTGACAATCGACTGGCGCTAAAGTGGGAGTTACTCATACTACGTTGTGCAGTAGCAGTACTCACTGGCCTATATTAACGTAGCGTCCTTGTTTTCTCTACTACTTCTCCTGTCTGCTCCAGCGTTTCTGACAATGATAGGCAAGACATCTACATCAGCTAGCGAACGCTGTAGCGGTGTCGTGTGTCATTGTCGCGGTTCCGACGTAACCGCGGTTGGCGCAGAGGCTCCACTTCTCCTGCTGCAGCTGTTGCTGCTATAATTGTTTCGGATAGCGGACGTTTTTTTTTTTATTTTTATCTACTTGGTCCCAAATCAGCTTTCGCTGGTCACACTATGTTTCCCTTCCCGAAAGGATCTATCCCGTTCAGTTTGCAACGGGAACAACAAGAAGAATCCCTCGTTCTGCGGGAACAAGGCATCTTCTTGGTTTCCTTGTTGTTCCTTTGGTTGCTATCTTGTTAACGCAACGTAATACTGACAGAGCACTAGAACTAATAACAACACTAATGACAACAATCACTTCCAGTCAAAGTATAAAAGCTCGTTTCGTTTAACGGATGTGAGCGCAGAGATGCTCCTGCCGCTGCATCTGCATAGACAGTGTTTTTACTGCTGCGTGGTAGATTTGTTCGTATCTAGATTTCTCTTACTATCACAACGTATGATACAACTACATACGGTATTTCACACAGAAGGCCATACGAAAAGTGATTCCTTCAAAGATCCAACTTTTGCGGCCGTGCTTCGTTCTTGCACTATATAACGACGTTTGACCTAATCTTCTTTCCGTTAAAGGCGTTCCTGTAAACGGATTATTACATTTCAGATTCCAGCGCAATGGCGTTCTCCCGTTGCCATCCTCCAAACAGAATCGTTGTCTCCTGATGACACACAGTAAAATACATCTATTTCTGGACATTTTGCCGGAAGCAAGCATTATCGTTAAATAGCACCTATAGCGGCAGAGGGGCATATCGTCGTGGCTGCATTTGGCCGTACACCCACTGGATGCATGCAGCAGTGCCTCCTTTTGCCTTGTTGGCTCAGCGATTATTAGCGTTGTTCCTAAAATTGTCGTTACGGCCTTTTTGTTTGGCCTGTTTTGCCTCCGGTTTACTAACCTGTTGGACGAGTATGCGCACAGAGACATGCATCTCTCGTATGCGACTCGGCCATCTGACTTAGCCTACCAGCAAACTAATGTGTGTGCCCCTCAAAAAAAAAAGATATTACCGATGGTGTCCTAACGGCTTTGGTTGACACTCGTCGTTAATATACCAATAGTAGTCATCCTTCGCCTTTCCATTCGTGCCAAGTCGAAACGAGCCAGGAGGTCGGGAGTGTATGATAAACGGAAGATGAAAAGAGCCCAGCGTCGGAGTTTACCATTTACTTCAGCAGAATTAAGAACCTCGATGTCGGGCAATATCATCGAATTTTGCTGCCGCTGATGCTTTGACAGCTGTTGCCATTGCCGTTGCCCTAATCAGCCCTATAATATCTCTGCGCGCCGTGCTACTGCAGTGGCCGCCCAACTGAGCAAATAAGATTTTTGCAAATAAGAGCAAATAAGACAGCAATTCCTGTAATCAGCCGATCGAGATTTGGTTTAGAGCAGCGGAAACAATTAACCAGAGAGAAAACGATAGGATATCTACTGCTTATCATTGCTTGTTAGAGGTCGCTAAAACAAGCCCATGCGGGTTAAAAACTTGCCCCATAGATTGCTGCTTTTGTGTTACGTAAGAATATAAAAAAGAAAACACTATCGGACTGCGGGAAGAGAAGGCGTCAACGTGGGCAGCAGTAACTCCAAACATATGCCTGACCTAACCTGTCGGCATAGATAAACGGTGAAACACAAGGCCGATGAAATGTATTGAAATTACCTTTCTCAACAGAGTGGAAAGCCAGTAACTAAGCTCTATTCTTGAATGAAGACTAGGAGGCAAGCAAAACAATTTGAAGTTCCGTAATTTTTCATTTTCAGATAGTACACATCATAGGAGCATCAGGGCACGATATTCCTGTTAAGAGAATTTAGACACTTTTGTTTCCTTCCATGTAGCTTCTATATAGTGCTACATCGGGAACGTTTGGCTTTCGAGCGTCTCACATGTAGAATAATACATGTACCCCATAAAGTCACTGTGTCAACGAAATACAAATGAGTTTGTATTTTTTCCAATACTCTAGCATATTAAAATGTATCTAACATCTTGATTCCGCATGTCCTCGTTTCCTTGACCATGTCATTTCTCATATCGTAATTTAAGACTGACATTGTATACGCTGTATATTTTTATATACATTCTGACCTGCATTCTGCCCAGCATCCCCGTACAAAAGGTAGCGAACAAGAAAGCTAAACAAGATTAGTGTATCACAAAAGTAACTTACAATATCCAAATATCAACACAATCGAACTAATAAATTTTGCCTGGCTGTTTAGCTACACATTTGTACACCCGCTGCGATATCGATCATCTCGACATCATTCATCTTGGGAATGACGTTTCACTGAGAATAGAAACAAAATTTCCTACGCTATGATCATTCACGACAAATCTGCAAGCATCAGATTGCCAGTTCACCGTCCGGGGCGAAGTTTTTTTCTATTCATCTCCGTGTTTAACGCTTTTTTTCCTATATCAAGCTACACAGCACATTTCTACGTGAGAACCTTCTACCTGCGTCAATAATCTCACTAGCACAGACAGACAGACGTTAAATATCATCATAGGCTTCAAACAGAATGAGGAGGTGACCATGGCTATGATCATTATAATAATGGTGAGGGCCAAATTTTTCCGTCCTGTGAAAGCCATGGATCTCCTTGATAACATCCAGTAATCTGTGACGATATCAGTAGTGTCGTCACCCGGATGTATAAGACCGATAACAGCAGTGGTCGTAATGGTGATAATTTTAGTTATCGCTTATTCTATCCTTCGTTTTTTTGCTCGATTAACGTGGCGTCGGCGCTCACAAAAGCTGCTTGACGCCACCTGTCGAAGCCATCGCTTAAGCTTAGGGCATTTACGCGCCCGTTATCGCATTAATTCTAGCACTTCTCGTCCTGTGAAGGTCCTTTTTCTCCCTGAGAGATTAATAAGAGGTAATTTTCACGGCTTAGGTCGTTCCACCCGGCGATTACTGTAAGGGTAAAGCAAACTAGAACGTGTAGCAATAGCAGGCATATCGCCGCACCCTGTCAGTATCCTGTCGATCGTCAGAGCATCTTCTAGCGCGAAGTGACCCGCAAGCAGCTTCGCGTATTGTCGATGGCAATCGTTTTCATTCTGTCGACGACGGCGGCAAAAACAAGGAACCTGATGGTGGTCGCCGCAATGGCAGGGACTCTCCGGCAGAGAAGACACGGCTATAGGCGCAATATTTGCCTTTGGACGCTACAACCGCTGCAAGATGAATACTTTTTTAAGTGTCTCCATTTTCCCGCCATGGCACTTCACTCGCGCTACATTAGCGACTCTATTTTGGTTTCTTATTTTCACTCAGCTTCATGTAAACTACTTACTCAGTGACACATGCAGACCTTCGCACAGATTCGCTACTTTCGGTTAGCTGTGAACGAAGGCACCTTACCGTGCCACACAACATTTCTGTAAAAACGTTACACGTTAGACACGGCAGAACGCTGCAGGTCACTGGCGTTACAGTTGGTAACTAAGTGCGCATAAGTTAACATAAGTGCGCATAAGTTGAAAACAAACGTTTCTTGTGCGACATCGCACAGTAGCAGCAGCTACGAGTACAGGCAGAAATTACAGCTGGGATAGAATTGTTTAATGGGTGTTATCGTACCAGTGGTAAAATAATAGCAGAAACTATTTTCTGACTCATGCTAGCCGACTAACTAGCCGATTAGCCAACATAACCATGCAACGAAGCACGCTTGTCCCCATTAGCGTGACGCCTAATGCGGAACGTCATGCGATTTATAGCTACGACGGCGACCGTCTATACTCGGGTCGTTTCTTTGCTAGCCAACCGTCGGCTGGTCTGTTAGTAATTATGCCTTGATTTACCGACGATTTGCAATTGTCGCCTCTGCTGTAACGTACGTTCGTCATACGTTCAAGACGCTTTACGTCTTTCAGTACGGCAAAATGTTTTAAAGTCCATGAGCAAACTAATGAAGCCTCATGTGCGTGTGTGCGATGATCGCTGCGACCGATTTAAATTCCCGTGGGAAAGTACGTATATCCACGTGGCATAACTAGTAAATATAGTACGTAGTCTATAATCTACCGCTATTCTAGCTGGTACGCTCTCATGCGCAGTGGAAGCAGAGGAAATTTAAAGAATAAAACGATCAGGAGACTGTCATACGACTCTGAGCAGCAACAATGCGCACGATAAGGTCGGACGCTTAGCGGGATCTTTGCGATGGCGATTACTTAACATAATCGCACGACAAGGCAAAGTTGGTTTCCCGTTTCATTTAGAGGTAAAGGTATAAATACATGGAGGTGAATCAGCAACATAAGTGCTCGTCTTTATGACTCAAGATCGTTTCGAGTCTTCGATAAGGCTGGAAATTAAAGTGGCCACTGGGTCTCTTGTCCGGGAAAGAAATAATAAAAAGCAAAAACAAACATATGAAAAGGTAGTTTCATTGAGAAAATTCGTAAATAGTCGAAAAGAATAATAGAAAGAAAGAAAAGAAAAGAGTATGCAGGCTAGGTTTAGAACTGGGGACTCTACGTCGTCTGCAAACCACAGCGACGCTTTATTGTTTACAAACATAAATTACACAGCACATTTTTGGCGAATAGCTAACGGTCGCATAGTGTCGCTGTTTCTAAAGAAGCTGTGAAAAGAACCGCATCTCATTCGAGTAACGGACGAAGTGGTATAGACCCCGATGGGCTGTCCTCGATTGAGGTGGCAGCGAAGGCTAGCTGCAAGAGCAGCCGCCCGCAACATAGCATAGAAAAACCACTGGTCGGTTAAAAGCAAATTAAAATGATTGTAAAAAATAGATATTCCTCTACTTCGTAAGCAAGAACAAACTACCATACCCTTATCTACTAACGACAAGATACAGATAATCATCAATAAAATATACGTGTGGGTATCACTATCATCATCGTTATTACGGCATTATTATGGCCATATATATATTATCCGATAAATATGTACCATGTCGTTATAGGCAGCTGTCGTCGCATATTCGTTTCAATTATGAGCTACAGCGGCAAGCTATCCATGTACAGTAAGAACAGCAAACATCAAACGAACTGCCATTATATTTGTATGATCGCTAAACAGATTTCGTCGTTCTGGTGCCTCATTAACGATTAGGCCAATCATCTACAAGTTACAACCCCTCCTACCTTACGACGATCAAACTTGATACAGTATCAATTCGTAACGGGATGGCAAACAATTAACCAAGCTACAGGGAGAAGACGCAGGTAATTAGTTGGCCAAGCAACCCTATGATTGTCACTATTGGCAATGCCCAACGCTGTTACTCTGAGACTGTGGACAACCAGAAAACTACCGCAGCGGTTAGCTCGGCGCCGTTCAACGTACCCATTAGAAGGACTCAGCGATTAGGAAAGAGAAACAGGATTGCATAGGTGTAGGAACAGGGGGCTTCTGATAAGAACGAGACCTTCAATAGATGATTGTAGATACATAATAATTTCAGTATACATGAATAAGAAGGTCAGAAGCAACGACGAAGTTCTTGTTTGCTAATTAACAATCGATCTGGCTCGACTAACAGCGAGCCGGACATTTGAATAGTTAGATGGCTGTTTTGTCAGCGATAGACCTGAGGAAACGACCACATCACTTCCGACACAGCATCCCATATGATTCCAGATGATATCATCAACTCCTCAGTGAAGATCATGCACCGCTATGTATGGATATATGTGCATACTATTCCTATCGAGGTGCGGGAGCTATTTACCCGCAGTCTGCTATCCGCTCATATCACTATCCATGATCATGATTGTATCCATCTTGTTATAGGTGTGTATTGGTTTTTTCATTACGAATGGTAAATCACATGCGGTGACCACCAGCGCTAGAGTACGGGTTGTTTAAGTTGTTCTTGCGCATTTCCGTGATATGTATAATAGGCCCATTAGCACGTTGGCATGAAATGGCTATAAGGGTAACGATTCACAGGATTAAGTGCGAACAATCGCCTCAATGTCGACCATGGCGTCAGTGGGAACATCACTCCGCCATAACGATAACGGCTACGATAGCCAAATGAGCGCAACGTATATTTGACATGAACGGTTTTACTTTGAAGCAGGGCTAACGCGACGCCGAACCGTCGCGACTCCCGCGGATCAGTGAAATAAACGCGGTCAAAAGTGGTTTGTCTTCTGCTATAGCAGCTGATACTGCTGCCATTGATTCGCTTTTTCTGTCTCTAGGCGACTTTGCGCTTCCCCTACCCTCCTACGATGTAGTAGTTCGTTTCACGCTCTTAATACATCTTCACAACTTGTCGTTCTGTACAACTACCAGTGGATGCGTAAGTTGTATCCATGGTCGAAATCGTAGAATCCAAGGTGACTACAAAGCAAAAACAATGGCAGCTCACGATGCATACACTCGAGTGTGTGTATGTGTGTCCTTTTACACGACAGGAAAGTTGCATGCGTTTCGTAGGTTGAGCGCAGGTACTGGAGGTTTGTTCGAAAAACCTGACAAAACGAACCTTAATTTTAACGTCCGTCCCTCAGGGCAGGTTTCAATAATCGCGGCGACAGCGACATCACCGCAAGGCAGCGGTTTTTTACATTGTCGCCGTTATTTTTTTCTGTCGCTTCAGCCGCTGTTGCTGGCAGAACGTCGTTTCTCCCTTAACTTTTTTCTAGCGTGTTCTATCTAAAAGCCGTAGCTGTAATCGCCGTCACTGGTTTCTATACATCGCCATCTTCACGGTTTTTCGATGCTGACGACTGCCACTGCAGCGGCGGCGGCTTTATCGCCAGCAGCGACGCGACTACTGCTGTAATCCACTGGCGTTTCCGTTGGTTTGCCGTACCGAGTAACCCCATTTCTTTCATTTTTGGGACAAACGAAGGGCCAGAGAGCAACAGCAGCCGCTTTGACCGAGTCACTACCGTTGCCTCAAGCCATCCGACTGAATGGTGAAGCCTTCAATGAGCTATCGGTGGTAAGACACCGTCTTCTCTGCTACTGCCGCCGCGGGCTCAGATATTAGTTGCAGTTAGAGTTAGTTGCAGGGTGCTTGTACGTTATATTCGTAGTGGCAATAGCAGATAGCTGCGTGTTCAGCTTGACGTTCGATTTATCCACCAAAGCTTTTAGCCGTCGGAGCGGAGCGACCGCAGTGACACCATCTACCGTTGCCAGCTTCGTATCATTCGTGGCAGAATTAACAGAATCGCTGACATTGGCTGGGCACTGCCGATAACCAAAGGTAGATGCAGCATATCTGATCGCATCGGATCAGCGATGGATCAGAGACCCGTTATCCAATGCATGTGTCGACTGTGCCAATATACTAGGATTACTGCAGTGCGGTGCTGATGTCATGCTTGCCATGCTGGCACAACGCGGTAAATTTACACCATACGAACAGTAAAAATGTTTAGGTACATGACGTTATTCAACCGCGAAACTTTCAAGGGCTTAGAATCGCGCCAAAGATACCCCGACTACGCGTTCTCCCCCTAATCCGATCCTAAGACGGTTGATTCTTTTGAGCTGCGCACGACACACGCCTTGTAACAGGCGACTTCTTGTGCAAATTACCTAGTTAGAGATCCGGCCAACGAGATAATGCCTGAACTGCACGGACACTACCTGTAGCTAATCGCTAATCTGCGCAACAGACGTCGCCTTGTTGGAGGTCGATTGTAGTACATTCAAAAAGGGGGTGTTTTTCCTGCTGTTTAATCCAGTCATGATCAACACGATCTAACTGTCTCTCAACGAATCGATGATGAGTGAAAAAGTGATACGATAAAAAGCCAAAAATTTTCACCAGGCCTTTCCTCGGGGTCGTGGACAGCATGTATAACATATTTGATACATCACTGGCAACAGCAATCGAATTGTTATCGGCATCGGTATTTTTTCTATTGAAATCGCATTAGCTTTTCTTTTACAATGTAGAATCATTAAACAGACCTACACCCTCTGATTAGATCTGTAGATTGACCTACCTATCGTCTGCTATAATGGCGCCACTGTCGCTCCGCTGTTTTAGCCGTTATCGAGACAGATCAACGGGCGTTCGTTCTCGATAATTAGCAACGACACACAAGGCACCAAAGCTAATTTCGTTCATCTTCCTCCCTGCTTAATAGATAATGTTAACGCCATCCAATGTATATAATATGCAATACATTTGTGTTGTCGAATTGGTATAGCTTATTGCATATTGTCTTTTATTGTTTCACAGGGTAGGGTAGGGTAGACTGAAAAAACGATCGATCAACTCTACGATCGTTAGCGTCGGCGCCACCAAAAGCCACAGCCATAAACGAATTACGAAATAGCACTTAGCGGCCCCGTCGATCGATCCTTGCGTGTAATGTGCTACGAGACAAAATATGGACATCGAGCCATTGTGTGGTATAACATTCATAACCAT